GAGCCAGGGGCCCTCATCAGGACCGGGGGGCCACAAGGCAGGGCCCCGCATCAGGAATGGATGCCCACAAGATAGTGCCCTTCCGTGGCCCAGGCAGCACCTGCCAGACTTGCAGCGAGTGCTCCCTGGAGGGACGTCGTCTACACAACACCCACCTTCACTCCGAGCGGGCGGCCTGTTGCAGCCCTGGAGCCTCTGCTGGCCTGTGTCAGCCAGACGGGGCCTGTCACCTGCCACGTGGAATCTTAAACTCTCAGCCTTCTAAACCTGCTACATTTCAAGCTACACTGTAGCTGTGCAGTATTTTAAAACGATATGACGTTGACCTAAAAGAGACAGAAAAAAATGTTTCATTGGGAAGTCAAGTACATAGTAACATTGTATCAGTTAGCTCGTCAGAAGCGGCAGGCGAACAGGCCCATGTACGAGTTTCCGGGAATCTCCCCCAGCGTCAGAACGTGACCTACGTGTTTCTCTCGTACAGTCCTGTCCAAAGCCTGGCACCTCAACCCAATGACACAGTAAATACGTATTGCTTCTCCCAAATGGCACCTACCTTTTTGAATTCTATTTAGACCGGGTCACTGGCCAAAGTATTATCCTAAAATGGACTATCTAAAAATAGTAAAATGTAGAAACCACCTTTCCCCTTGGAAGGAACGCATCCATTCAAACACAAACCCGAGACTGATTTCTAAAGTTTATTAAAAATCAAAGAATAGAAAAACTTTACATAAAAATATGTCAATTTTAGCTTCCACATTGTTGTCCACACACAAAAAAATCGAAACATGGTATCTTTTCGCTACGCCTGCGGACGTGACCACAGCGGTAGCCCCAGGCCAATTCATCGGGCCCCCACGACTGGAACGGAGCCTGACCCTGCCCTCGGAAGCACACTTAGGGTGCGTACCGTGGCCACCGCTGCCAGCAAGGGCCTGTGCAGCCGTCTCCTCGGCGCGGGCTAGCCAATATTGCTCGTGAGTACATTAGAACAGGCCTACGAGTCCGTGTTTATAAATACTTCTGTATCGCTAGGGTCACAATTTAAATACTTTAAATACATTGGGTAACCTCCGATCGCCAAGGACCACGGAGGGAACGTGCTGCCCCACTGCCAAGGCCTCTGGGAGGACGGCAGGGGAGGGCAGGCCCAGCACTCGGCCTCACAGGTGCCCACCACCGTGGACAGCAACTCTGCACGCCCACTCACTCCACACATCAGCTAGGTGGCACGGCCATCTCTCAGCGCTCTCCACTATGGACTTCAAACCCCGACCTACCTGTGGTGTTAGCAGGGTCTAGGCCCCTCATCCTACAACGGGGGGCCGAGGACCTGTGAGATGCGGCCGACCCCCAGGACAACTGTGGCGCTCCGGAAACTCAGGTTAGGCAGGATGGAGATATGCTTGTTCAAAACAAGGTCACAGGACAGTGAGTGTCGTGGCAGAATACACTTGCATAGTATACCTGTATGCATCGGAAGCCAGGCCAGCCGCCCGACAGCGCCTCTAGGACGCTCCCCCACGGCGCATGGAGCCGCGAAGTCCTCCCCATAGTTGCTCTTAGCAGAACGAATACACACTGCTATACAGATTCCTCCACGGAATCAACATAATCCCTTTCTCCACATTCCTAAAACTGGGCACCGTTTTCCATAATGATACTCACCAGACCCATCATTACAGCTTGTGTGACTAGGACAGGCTGAAGCATTTCGAAGTTCACATTTTGTATAGATTTTACACCGTGACAGCCCGTCCTCCCTTAGAAAGTTATACTTCTGGCACTTTAAATGCTGGGTTTGTCGTCTATTCAAAAAAAATCAAAAACCAGACACTTTAAAACTCAGTGGTTGAGCAGGACTGCAGGCCGGGCAGCAGGCAGGGCGGCGGGCTGTCTGTCCAGGCACAGCCGTCCTGGTGTCCAGTCGGCACGGCTCGTCACCCCCTCCCACGCGCTGAGGCTGCGCATCCAACCGAAAGGAAAGACGTCAAAATGAACCCCAACCCCCTGTGGTCTTTGTAATGATGCCCCTCAGACAACCAGCAACACAATGAACCCAACTTAGAAAATGCAACCGGGGAAAGGATGTAGGCTGATTTAAAAACCCTCCTCCCTTAAATAGAACTTACGTGAAAATAGGAAATTAAATAAAAAATATCTGAGTTATTGCACAAATCATAAGTTTGCGATATTTACATAGAAAAACAGTTCTGGGATTCCAAACAAAACACTAGGGCACTAAAACAATGGCAACCCCGACCCCATCCGCCGCGCAGAGAGACGCCGGGGGCTCCTCTGACAAACGGAAAACAAACCCCAAACCGCAAAGGAGTCGACAGGGCTCTGCACGCGCGTGCACATGCGCGCGCACACGCGCACACTGTCCCCGCGGGCCGGAGTCCCAGCAGCACTGCAAGGTGAGGACAGCGCCACGTTGCACAGACGGGCACAACGCGCTGTTCTGGAGGATGGACGCGGCCACCCCACGAGGACATGCAGAGGGCGGCGCAGGCGCGGGGGCCCCGTGGCTGATGTGCGGACGCTGCGAGTCTCCGTCACGGCCACCACGGCCCGAGGCCGCAGTCAGTCTGGGCAGGCGGCGGCGGTGCCAAGGCACCATTATCTGCTGAGGCTGACGGGCAGGCTGTCCCGCGTATGCGTGTGCTTTTTCCTCCTCCAGCCGGTACGGTTGTACTGGTGGTGGCCCCGGTTCCCCACGGGTGGCCGTACGCCTCCACTGCCCACGGAGCTGTGGCCGCCACCTGGGCTGTGGCTGTGTGAGCCTTTCACCGACAGCTTCATGCCACTGTGCTGCTGGAAAGACACAGGGAGGTCAGCGCGGCATGTCCTAGGGCAGACGGGACCCCAGGAGACAGGCTCAGCCCTGACCTGGCCCAGTACTTGTGAACAGGGCCTCTTGTGGGGACAGGGTCACTGCAGATGGAGGGAGTTCAGGTGGGGTCACTGCAGATGGAAGGAGTTAAGATGGGATCTCTAGGGTAGGAGTTAAGATGAGGTCACTGCAGATGGAGGGAGTTCAGGTGGGGTCGCTGGTGGGAGGAGTTAATAAGATGGGGTCACACGGGGGAGGAGCTGGTGTCACGGGTGGGCCCGAAGGTTCCTGTGACTGGTGTCCTCTTAGGAGGAGGAGCAGTGGCAGACGCACAGACGGGGAGAAGACTGTGTGCAGACGGAGGCAGAGACTGGAGCGATGCGGCCACAAGCCAAGGAAAGCCTGGGGCCACCAGAGGCTGGGAGAGACGAAAGGTCTCTTCCCTGGAGCCTGTGGATGGAGGGGGGCCCTGCCAACACCTGAACTTGGACTTCTGGCCTCCAGAACTGCAAGAGAACACCCTTCTGCGGTTTAGGCCAGCTTTGTGGTTGTGTTACTTCTGCCCCAGGAGACAAAGCAGAGTCCGTCCGTGGAAACAGAACCACACCCACGGGGCTCACGCACACTCAGTTCTTGAGGCGGGACGGTCAGGCAAGCCACGTTTGTCTCCACTGGAGCAGAGTCAGGAGCCGCATGGGGAGAACGTGCCAACAGTGCATGCACCACCAACCCAGTCCTCCAGGTGTCCCCGTGTGCCGACACCACCCACAGACACAAGAGGCCCCTGCTTTCCCCTCTGACCACTGGCGGACCCTGGATGCATGCAGAACTGTGGGCCTCGGCCCGGCCTGACTCTCCACGGCCCTCAGCCCTTGTCCACCACAGCCTGTGTCTGGACTACCCGAGCACCTCCCCACCGTGAAGTCCCCTCAAAGGCAGACCTTTGAAGAGAAGCGCAGTCGGCAGAGGAGGGTGTCAGAGCGAAGTGACCCAGAGGGGTGGAGGAAGGGGGCCAGGCGGAAGCGAGGGAAGTCTGCGTCCTTCCTGCAGCGTTCCTATCCCACCCTGGCCCCTCCTGCTGGCTCAGCACACAACACGGCAATGCAGCGAAAGGGTGACTGGGTGGAACCCGGGCAGGGATGTCCATATTCTGTTCTTACGTCCAAATACAGAAGCCGGGGAGCTATGACACGGGCTGAGGAGCCGACCCTCAGGGATCAGAACCCCAGCAAAACCCGCTGAGAGCGCACCAGGGCCTGACTGCCTCCGGGCCCTGAGCTCTGAGCCCCCAGGGACTCCTGACACGGAGGATC